GTATACCACAGAATAGCACGTAGCAAGAACAATAAATTGTTGGCCTCATTTTTTCTTGCAACCCAAACCTGCGGTTTTGAAGTTTTTTACAAAACTGTACTTCTTACTTATCTCATCTTGGGGCAAATCCCAAGTATCTTTGGTAATAGACTTACTTCGTTCATGATCATTTTATATCGTGTTCATTTTGCCACATTCTCTATTAACTCTATTGGGGTAAGTTTTTAGATTATTGGGGCCGTAGGACAGGTTCTCATTGCATCAATAATGCAAACACAGGCTCGTCTTTTTACTTTTGAAATATTAACTCTCGTAGTAGCTAAACTAGTTCTGTTACTCCATACTATAGCCCCGTAAGTGAATATAGCAGACTATGTGAATTTATTTGCATGGTTCTCTAGAGGATTTGGTAGATGGTAACGTTGCATTCTCAGTAAAACACGAATCTGTCAGCTTCGGTTATTTTGAAAGTTTTAAGTGGTAACAAAAGTGTAAAAAACCTAATTTTTGACAGTAAAGGTATTTAAACTAAGCCTGAACAAGCCCAATAAACACATTCATTTTTTCAACGTAAGTTTAACGTTGTATGGTATAAAAAACGTTATTGGTTGAAAATTAAACGTTGAAACTTTAGTTGATAAGTTATACGTATATAAAATACCATATTATAAAGTATGTTTCTATTAATTTTCAACAGAATGTTGAAAATTTGATAAAATAATACGTATTTTTATAACGTTTGATTGTGAATATGAAGACTAGAGAGAAGAGAGCGAATTGGCAATGGTCAAATTTAAAATTGCCGTCCTTTTTTTTATAAAGTTCACGAAATTGCATGTCGAATAACAGCGGTGTCAATTTTCTATGAAAATCAATGAAAAATAAAGTGATTTTTGAAAAAAATGGTGAATAGAATCAAAATATTGTGAAAAAAAGTACCTGAGTTCAAGTAACATGAGTGACAAAAAACATCATAGCTAGATTTACGTCGTTCTAGATTGTAAAACCGAATACCAATCCAATGTAAAAATACAGAAAACACAAGAAGAAATCAAATCAATGTCTTTTTAAAGATTCTAATGTAAGTAAAATAATATATTTATGTCTAAATATAATATTTATTGTAAACTAGTCACAATAGGTATCTTACGCTACACTCCGTAAGATACATATTGTGACTTTTTTACAATAAATATTATATATAGACATAAATACATTATTTTACTTACATTAGAAGTTTAATTGATTGATTGATCGCTTGAGTTTTACGCTGTTTATTTATATTCACTTTTATATAATGGTATCAAATTAAGAATAGGACATGAACAACTGAAGATTATTGTTCAAAATGAGACGAATAGACGAAAATAAAAAATGCTTGGATAAAATATTCTGAAATACAGGATGTTAAGTTGAAAATTAAAAAAATAATAATGGGTGTATGGGTGTTAATAATATAGGTGTAGTTATAATTTTATTATTCAATATAAGTTTACTAAAATCGGCACTGACAAAATTTAACTAACAGATTTTTTTGCTGTTAGGTAAACTTATAACATAATACCAAACACGTTTAGTGAAATTATACTAAGTAATAAAAACATGTAAGCCACTAATTTTCAATTTTCAACTTTTATCACCATTTGAAAACGAATCGAGTACCAATTTATGGTAGCGGAATCAGTAGCACATTTAGGAGTATTATTTTCAAAACGCAAAATTACAAATTTTTCATTTATTTTTTTTGTACTTGGAAATACTTTCCTGCATGCCCTACAGTGATGAAGCGCTCAACGAAGGCGTCTTAAAAAATAAATTATAGAAAATGCGAATGTTACATGTTTGATTAGATACAGAGATAAATTAACATTGACATAAAGCTTCATTGCTCAGGACGTTAAGTGCTTAACTTTGGATTTCATGAATTTCAGTTATCGACTACTACTACTTTTTCTGAACTGTTATCAAAATACTATAAAATTTAGCAGAAAGATTGCATTAATTGTATTTTTCATATTTAAAAAAAAAAGAATGTTTTTATCTGTAATTGAATCCGGGTTGGGAAATCAAAACCTGAACGCTTAACGACTTAAGTCTTGAAGGCACTTATATCAAGTTAATTAATCAAATATGTTACGTGGCTTTTTAAAATACCATCATTGTGCGCTCCACTGCTGGTGTGTCCATCTTCTACAAGAGAAAAAGGAAGGAAACATTTGTAAAGTTGTCTTGCACAAATGTGTACCAAAAAAGGGCAACTGGCTCTCGTAAGCCTTTTTCGTTTAATCGTCTCATTATTTGAACACTAAACGCCAGCATGGGAAATATATGTTAAAGTTAGTTTTAAGAACTTTTAACGTTCAAATAAAAAAAAAAATTCATAAATCTATTATTAAAATCCGCATTGGAACAAAACATGTAAAATTGTTGAATTTGAAAGATATTCTAAAAAGGGAAAGGACTTCGGTCGAGAGCCTATTCGACTGAATATTCAGTTCAATGATAATTATTAATATTACTATTCTTAAATATTTTGTTGTTTAATTTGCTTGTAAATTTATGTGTGAATATATTTATAAATTAGACTGGTCAACAGTGATTTTGTGGATGGGAGTGTAAGAGCATTTTTGGACGATCGTTTTACCGATTTCAAATCGCTTTTCCAGCCTATAAATCTTCAATTGTTTTAAAAAGAATAAAATAAAGTAGTTCCGTCTAAAACTAAAATAAATTTGCTATCTCGATTATTTCCAAACTTTTCCTTAACGCCTTAGTTGTTTCATATTACATTTTTTTTTAATTTGCTATTTCTGTGGAATCATTCATTTTCACTTGTGTTATTGTTCTTCTAAAAAAGCGAAATGTGACTCACGTTCTGCTTGATTGGCTTTAATTTTTGAGATAGTCAACCAGTCGAAAAAAAAAAATTCAAAAAATTATAAGACATTAATTTATTTATTTTATCAGTTTTGTCTAAGCTAACTAAAAGGCTGTATTCTATAAACAAAGAAAAATAGTGATTGTTGTTTTGAACTAGTTAAAACATTTTCACTCGAACGGCGTGCGTGATTCAATTTAAAAATACTTTCCAGAATAAAACCACGTGTTACAGTTTTGACTTAATTTATTACTAAACAGCCAAGTCATATACAGAAACGTTAATCCAAAATCTAAATTAAAAGTAATAACAAATTGCCTATCTACTAGGGTCGGTAACCAAACGTATAAACAGAATGGGCGGATTTTGTTCATACTTAACATTATACTCGCGCACTGACACTTAACCTGGATTAAATATAACTATAAATACAAATATTTACAAACAAATATACTTTTCCAAACAGTGATAAATTATATAAAAAAAATGTTTTTTATGAGATTTTCTTTTATGTTCAAAGTAAGGACTTTATAATTATTGTGTCGTTCGTAGAATTCTGTACTAAATAAGAGCACTGATTTTGGAAATACATTTTAACCATTTTGGCAAGTTGTTGAACCTTGTAACATTGCATAATGAAATATAAAGACTAACTGGATATGTCTGCCATAGATAGACTACTTGTAGGTCTATCGATTTCGTCTTGAGCTATTTCTAAAGAGCGGAGCGAAAACTTCCTTTCAAGGTGATTTATTTCAACACTCAGAGCCAGCCGAGAGAACATTTTTTCTTATATTCATGATCAACAGCCAAGATACACTTGGAAGTCGCTAATATATCCCTGTGACTATTTTTTTTTAATTTGTTTTCCAGTGTTGATTGATTTTTTCCTGATTAGTGATTTTCTTGTTCCTTAACTCAATATCTTGCAAACTGTTGATAGCTTTGATGAAATTTTGTAGCAAATCTTGTTCAAATTTTGAAAACTATAAAAATATTCAGCAATTTTTATGGTTATAAACTTTTCCAACACTTAGTCCAATTAGAGGTACTTAGATTACATGTAACATTTTCAGAAGCTTATTCCTTTTTTTGTATTCTACTTGGAACTTTTCAATTTATTTAAAACATTTGACATTGTTATCAGTTGTTATTAGGTATTCTCACAGAACAATTACTTGGTATTCTTTGTTATTGTTTATATATTTTGACATAACCGCACATAACCAAAATATTGACCAAAGTCCTTAACCACTTTTTATCACCTTAATCCAAAAAATTTATTTGTACGGTTTTGCAACTGGAATAAATTTTTATTATTGTGTTTAATTTTTTATGTCTTTTATCATGAATTGTTATTTTTAAATAAATAAAGATGTTTTTAACTATAATAGGTAGGTGATAAAGGCCATGTGCCTGAACGAAAAGAAGACGTAGATGGCGTATCTGCATAGCATTAAAAATTGACTACTTCATTAAATCTACACTAGATGCCGCTCGAGATTGCATCCAACACTTTTTACTGTTGCATTATCCTACTATATTATCTTCATACAACGGTACAAGTCAGTCGTCCGTATGTATTTTTGAGCCTCGTAGGTGGCTTTTCGTTTAAAACAGCAGAAGGTACCTATATTGCTACTATAGCGAGGCGTAACGTTGTGATTATCAAAGATACATCATATTATAGTGGTTTTTTTAGTTTATGTATTTTGAGTATTTTTAAATATTTTTTTTAAAAGTTTTATTTAATAAATTAATAACAGTTAGATATTTACAAAACACAAATATAATTATTTTAAAAATCTTTATTTTTTTAATTAACATTTAACCTTTTTAATAAAGAATTTGTTAATAACGTGTAACTAGACATATTATAGGTGCTGGAGTCGGTGTTCCGTACTAGAATCTTCTATTTCTGTGAATGAGTAAATAAATAATTGGTAAATAAATAAATAATTTATTAATATTCTTATAAGATTAGCTTACAGCATTTAGTCAGACTCGGAATTTTCTTCACTATCAGGTAACATATTCTGGGAAGGTTTTATGTTTTTTAGGTCTTTCTTTACTATATTTGCATATGTAATTTGAGCCATACAATTGCAGGACCCAATGCAACACATTTGTTTCTTTTTTTGCAGGAACATTGTGGCCCGTTGCAATTTATAAAAAAATATTTAAATTAATAATATACTTGTAATAATAATAATAAATAATTTACTTTTTTTTTCAATTTCAAGTATTTAAAGCAGAAATGTCCTCAGGTAGTATTGATTCTGTGCTTAAAATTGGTACCAGTTTTCCATTAACAATTTTCCAACTACACTCTGATACATCTGGTAAAGATGGTCTGGGTATCGTACTGTTCAGTCATATTTTAGTCTGGTAGTGTACACGAAGACAATGCTGTTTTAAAGAGTCTAAAGTTGGAGGTAATTTGCTGATCGGCTTTGAGGACGCTAAAATCACTCTAAGGTCGTTTATGCAATAAATATTTTGGTTATTTGTATAAAATCGCATTACAAACTTAACCATTTTATTAAAATCGTCTTCTAAATTGTCATTTATGCCAACATTACTAAGTAGATTGTGGTGTGATAGAAACATTTTCCAGCATGTTTTTTTACCCATTCCTACAAACTGACTGGTTGTATCACAACCTGTCAGTGCATGAAACGTTGGTAGACATTTTGCCATTGAACTATCCATTTTCAATTCATGGATTGCTATAAATCTTTCGGTTTCTTTGCTTCCAACTTTTATCCAAATTTCCGGCATCAGTATATCTTTGAAATGGACCAATAGTAACAAATAATCCTTCCATTTTAGCAGACAATATACGTAATATAATCCTTGTATCTGTCTCTTTGTGTTTCGCAATTAATAAGTCAGTTTCTAAATCATAATTTACTTTATACTGTAGAACATCAAGAAATCCTCTGCTGGTGACAAATTTTACTCCGAAATTAAGAGAATATTAATACAACTAATTACCCACGAAGTTGGCAAGTTGCATTTTATTAGCAATCGAATGGATACATAAATGCCACTGTTGAGGTAATAATGTGTCTGAGTTGTCAATGGCTCTCTCTATGGCGTCATTTTTATGTTCCCTCTTCCCTCTTGTGCAATTCTTTATCGACAAATCTTCGTAATGGTCCAGGACAAAATCAATTCTTTCGTCATTGTATTTGTTCTTAAATGCAATGAGCCTTTAAGATGTTTGAATGTTCCCCAAACGGTTTGGCGTTAGTAGGTTTGCCGAGTCCCTGTATTAATGTCATTTCATCGAATACGTGGCAAATTTTACCACAAATTTCCGATGGTAAATCTTTGCAACTTCTAGTAAATTTTTCTATAATGTTTTCTAAGTTATACTTGTTTGAAAGGGTAGATAATATTCCTGTAGGTGCCAGTGACATTGGATAAGTCGTCAATTCATGTTTAAAAATATCTTCATATTTAATATTTCTTGACCTTTTTGGAAAGTTTTTTTCTTATCAACGGCAGCTACTTTGACGCCAGTGCGCTGTAGTATTTGAAGAATATTTTTTTTATTGGTTTATAAAAGTCAGGAGTACCAACTCTTAAAAATTTTCTTAAGGCTTGTTCGCCTATTTCATTCACATTTAATAAAGAAGTTTAGACCGTATCAGATGCAACTTTATTAGTTGAGATAACTAAAAGGCGATCATCGCTTTTGGAAAATTTATTTTTTATATACCCATTCCTAGGCATTATTCCTACTGTGCATTACAAATAGCATATGTAGGAACTTACCTGTATTTATTAGTAAATGCAAAGCAGCTTAAGAGCAAACATGACGGGCGCTCCTCCGCCAAAAATCAATTTTACATTTGAGGCAGTTAAAAAAAATTGTAAAAATTGTCAAAAAAAATTGTAAAAAAATGGTTCATGCCAATCGTTTTAAAAATGAACCAAGAATGACGCTAAATCGCAAAAAACTTATATTTTTAAAGAAAAACAACAAAAATTTCAACTTTTTAACAAATTGAATTTTTTGGTTCTTTAGCGTCATTCTATAACAAATATCTTAACTATTTTCTAAATAACTTTTTTTCAAAAAGATTTTCAATTTTAAACAGGACCGAAGAATAACATAGTTTTCATTCCGATACTAATTCTATTAAAACAATGATACCAGTGAATATGGCAACGCTGCTAGTCTATGAAGCTCGTGGTTAAAAGGGTAGCTGCTGTTTAGTTAAATTTGTTAATTCCTGTGTCGAAAGATAGGTAGTTGTTTTTGAAGAGGTGCGAAATTATTGTGATCGTCTTAGTTTGTTGTTGAGGCGTTGTTAGGTTTTTGTTTATTTAGTTTTTAGTTAATTTATGAAACGAAAAATTCTGGAAGGCAAAAATGCACAGCTGACAAATTTCTATTTTATTTGTTTGCTGCCAGAATTGGTAAATCCTAGAGAAATACGACATGTGCCAATTAGGGAAAAGAGATTGTCAAGAATTTTGCCCGCTTAAAAAAATGTGTAATATACCGGGTGTTTCTAAATACATGCGACAAAATTCAGGAGCTGATTGCTCGTATGAAATTAAGATGGGTCTTTCCTTTAACAAAATTTCCTCAGCCCACCCCTTTTCGAGATATCACCCTTAAAAGGTGGTGCCTAAAATTAAGTTTTTATTTTTTTCCTAAAATTTCAGTAAAGCTAGAAACTTGAAATTCTGTAATCGCAAAGGACTAACCACGGGTATTTTTTCAATATTTCTGTTACATTATAGGGGGTGAAATTAGCATCACTTACTTTATTTCATATCAAAACTTTTTTTCAAGATTAACTTTTATGAAATAAAATTATAACTTGAAATCCTTGTTTTATTTAATTTTTTTTTATTCTTAAATTTTTTTCCCAAAACCAATAGTTTCAGAGAGAAAAAATTAACACCCTAATTTATCATTTTTTTTTAATAAATTGAGTGGAAAACGGTTTTTTTTTTCTATGAAGATATTGGTTTTGGGAATTTTTTTTTAAATAAAACAAGTATTTTAAGTTATAGAATTATTTCATAAAACTTCATCTCGAAAAAAAGTTTTGATATGAAATAAAGTAAGGGTTGCTAATTTCACCCCCCTATAATGTAACAGGAATATTGAAAAAATAACCGTGGTTAGTCCTTTGCGAGTGCACGAAAATTACAGAATTTCAAGTTTCTAGCTTTACTGAAATTTTAGAAAAAATATAGAAACTCAATTTTAGTCACCACCTCTTAAGAGTTATATCTCGGAAAGGGGTGGGCTGAGGAAATTTTGTTATAGGAAACACCCATCTTAATTTCATACGAGCAATCACCTCCTGAAATTTGTCCCATGAATTTTAAAACACCCTGTATGTTGGTATATTAAGGTTAATGCAGTAGCCTTTATAATTTTCGGACAAGGATATTTCAAAAAGTAATTTTGTTTAAAAATTAAAATTTTGGCAAAATAAATTAGGTAATATTAACTAGATATACCTATATTTTAAAGTTTTAATTCCTTTCAGTTTCCGGGAAAAAAATCAAATATGATAATGAAAATAAATGCATTCTTCAACAGCACTATTCTTAATATAATCCCGAAATTTAAACTCTTAATGTCTTGATAATGATTTTTTAAAATTGGCCAAAATTAGTGGATAAAACGCCTCGTTATGTGCTGCCTTAGGGTGTAACGCGCTTGTAACTATCGTATCGTACACTCTGTCATTATTCCTTTCTTGCAACAATTTACACCAGTTTACACCAGAAGATAGCACTTAACGAAGTGTTTTAGCCACTAATTTTTGGCGAATTTTAAGAAATCATTAACAAGACATTAGGAACTTAAATTTGGGGATTATATTTAAAATTGTGCTGTCGAGGAATGCATTTATTTTCATTATGATATTTCAAAATTAAAGCCTTTTTATTTTTTCTTGGGAAACTGGAAGGAATTAAAACATTAAAATATATGCATATTATATATATTATTGCCTAATTTATTTTGCCAAAATTTAAATATTTTGAGATATTCTTGTCCGAAAATTATGAGGGGTATGATCACCTTAAGATTGAAAGAGAATTAACTTTAATTCATGAGATGCAAAGCATCATAATTGTCGCGTTACAAAAACCACCTGCTGCCAAGAGAAAATTTTGATTCAACAGTATTGTATATTTTGTGTTGTAAAAGAGATAAAATTAACATTTCGTGTTTTAATAGTTATTTTTTTAATTTAATAATCTATGTGAAAAAAAAATTGTTATATTAATATACTTATTTAATTGTACTTTTATTTGTTGTTCCTTTAATACAATAAATACAATTTACCTATCTCCAATTCATCACTTTCCGTATCCATATACCTAGGGTCCGATTACAATTAGAAGAACACCGCCAGGTCATAACTATTATTTCGAATTTCCAATATACAAGGTGTCCCGAAATTAGACGGTCATATATTAACAGCGTAATCTACATCCTACAAGTATTAGAAATTAAAAATTTAAAAAAACCGAATTTAAAAACGTGCAGATGCCGTCACCACATCTTAACCAAATTTATATAGGGTCACTCCTGAGGTACCCCCTTACTACCAAAAAAATCTGATGTGTCCAACACATGACTTTCCTATCTAGTTATTATAGGATTTTTCCAGTTATTTTGTACAACCGATTGCAGCACCTCTATAAATGTTTAGAGGATAAACTAAATATATACATTTTCCACATACATCTAACTCGAAACATTTTTCTATAGATATTCATTGAAAACAAAAATACTGAAAAATTTAAATTTAGCACTTTTCCTTCAATTTTTCCAATTTTAGAAAAATCATGTACAAACAAAAAGTATAGAGATCGATCTCGCAAACAACTTTTAGTTCAACAATTTTCATACAAATCAGAATTTTGCACATTTTGTCAAATTTCTCGAATACGGACCATTTAAGGAAATTTTGACATAAAACAAAAATTATAGATAATAATATTAGAAGTAACTTTTATTTGAACAATTTTCTTCTCCAAACATAAATAACAGATATATTCCATAAAATATAAAAATGATTACCTATAAAGTACCCCCTAGATGTTCCGACTCTGCTCAAAATGTAATCATTCTATTAAACGCTAAAATAAAGCTTAAGTTTAAAATTTAGTGTTTTTCTGTCTATCGGTTCGTGAGTTATGGTGGATACAGACACACAAACACACACGACAATTTTACCCTAAGCTCCCCCTAATTTACCCACCTAAGAAGATGATCAAAAACTGTGGTTTAGTATAATAAATGGAGCGTAAAAAGGTTAGTATTTGTACCAAATTTTACCTAATTATTTTTAAACGTTTAGAAAATATTTACAAAAGTGTGGTATCAGGACTTCACCTTTAACACCCTGTATCTCGGAAAATAAAAGTTTTCGGACCTATGTTTATATGAACTTTTACTATTATTTTAGGATGTAGATTACGCTGTTAAAATATGACCGTCTAATTTCGGGACACCCTGTATATCATCTATAACTATCAATAAATAAAAAATATTTGAGTTGTTTGGTTTAAAAATGGTATTCTTACATTCCTATAATATTAACAAGCCAGTAAACCCCCACTAGGCGGCGATAGCCAACGAATTACTTCGCCAATTGATGACATACTTGTGTTCATATAATTGTAATCGGACCCTACCCAATATGATTATTCTTCAGCGCACGACACACAACATTGCCAAATTTATGTAGCGAACAAGGTTCCAAATACTTTAAGGGGAGGTCGTGAGATCCGTGCGGTGTGACGTCAGAAGGGACTGTATTACTCTTAAATATTATAATGTTCGAATAATTCTGTAAAACAGTTAACAGGATTACTTATTGTAACTAAAAGTTGAGAATCACAATAACGTAAAATAACAACATAATATGTTAAACCACAAAAACATCAACGCTTTACTGATTTGAAATATGCTGCAATGGTAATGGAGCATACACGTACGTTCTAAGTAAGTACCTGCTACTGTTTTAAACGAATAGCAACCATCTTGACTAGAAAACACATACGGGCGGCTGTACATGCACATACAGCCGCCTACCAAGCAAATTTCATCCATCCCCGCAGCTCCGCATCAGAGCGCGGTTGTCACGACTTGCTTTTACATTTTACAGTTTTTTAACGAAACTATTTATTAGATCTTTATTTTCTAAGAAGTATTTTAATCCTTGATCTTTGCTCTACATCGTT